TTTAAGTTAAAGTGACGGTGAAAATTCTGTGTATTATAAAGTTGTATCGAGAAATAATAAACTAGTTTTAATTAAGAAAGAACTTTTAACGTTGAAGTTTCTCGGAAAGAATTTCTACGGGAAATTAACAAACGACCAGAGACATAATAAATTGGTATCAGGAGTGGGATGGAAAATAAAAAAAGAAAGAAGATGGAAACGAGAGGTGGCAAATCAAACTACAGCTTAGCAGATTTGATGGCAGCAATACAAGAACAGCAAAATAAACAAGAAGAACGAGAAAAGAAACAAGAGGTAAGATTACAGCAGTTGTTGGAGGAAAAAGAAAAGAAACAAAAAGAGAGACAACAGCAGTGGCAAGAAAACTTGCAAGAGTGGCAGCTCGAAAAGCAAAATAAACAAGGAAGATTACAGCAGTTGTTGGAGGAAAAGAAAAGAAAGAAGAAGAACGAAATAAGAAACAAGAAGAGAGATTACAGCAGTTGTTGCAGGATAAAGAAAAGAAACACAAAGAGAGATTACAGCAGTTGTTGGAGGAAAAAGAAAGGAAACACGAAGAACGAGAAAATAAACTAAAAAGAGAGGCTACAGCAGTGGTTGGAGGAGAAAGAAAATAAGCAAGAACAGAGCTTACAGCAGTGGCAACTAGAACAAGAAAGGAAACAGGAATAAAGTCCACAACAGTTGCAGGAAAGTCAGCAGCAACTACAGGAAAGTCAACAACAGTGGCAAGAAGTACAAATGGAAAACAGTAGTAAATTTAAAAGCGAATTAGATACGTTAAAGGACGATTTATTGTCTTTTACACAAGGAGGATACATTAACCATCGACTTAACCAGCCCCAGACAATGACAAGCCCCTTCCAGACCCCACAGCTAAACCCCAATGCAGACATCTTCACATCCCAGATATGAATGTCAGCAATAGGGGTGATCCAGTACGAAGGAAGCCACAGGAATTCGATGGGAAGGCACCATGGGAAACATATAGTGCACAATTTGAGCTCCTGGCAGAAATGAATGGACAACCATTGGAAATACTTGGACAGTTGTCAGCAGATGACATGCACAACTATAGAGCACTGGTAGCTGCTCTAGAACTCAGGTATGGAACTCAAAATCAGACAGAAGTCTACAGAGCTAGGTTTAGGACTAGAGTCCGTGCTAAAGGGGAGAGCCTGCAAGAGATGGCACAGGACTTGGAAAGTATGGCACACAAGGCCTACCCAACTGCACCACCCGCTGTCCTCAAGCTGTTGCTGAGGGATCAGTTTGTAGACACCTTGGACAGTCTACAACTGAAGATACAATCAGAGAAAGCATACCCCTCTACTATGAAGGATGCAATTGCCAGAGCTCTTGAATTCGAATC